GCCGTTGGCGGCGGGGCGGCGCGGCGGCGCGGCGCGGCGGCGCGGCCTGAACCAGCCCGCTCGGCCCAGATCTGGGCCCTTCGGGCCCCATCTGGGTTTGGGCGGGCCGGCGGCGGGACGGGCCGGCGGCATGGCCTCCAGGAGGCGGGAGAGCGGCATTGACGGCTGGGAGCGGGCGGCGCAGGTGCCGGCTTGCTGCAACATGGCCGGCGGGGCTTTGCGGGTCCGTTGTGGACCTGGCCGGGCCAGGGGTGGCCCGGTGTGCCCTGCTGCCACGTCCGGTCGGCGACCACGACGTCGCCGGGGGCTCGGGCCTCCCGCACGTCGGCGGGGGAGGTGGTTCCCTCCCGCTTGGCTTCGGTGTGGTTCCTCCCGTCGCTTGGCGCTTCTTTCCGGCCTCCTTGGCCTCGTGGTGGTGTTCGCAGCGGGGCGGCGTGGATGTGTCCAAGACCGTGGTGGCGCGTGCTTGCGGGTGGCTTGATGGTTGGATGGCCCCGGTTCGAGTGGGTAGCGGTGCTTGGGGATGTGGGAGAAATCTTTGCCGGTTCTTCCGGCTCCGACGCGGTGACACCTGAGGGTGCCATCATTCCTTCTTGAAGGGCGTCGGCGCTACCCATCACCCGCTCCCCTCCGTATGCCGTGGGAAACCCTAGGACTCGTCCGGGCAGCAGCGTCGTTGGCGTCGCATTCCTTCTTGAAGGTGCTGCTTGGTATGCGGCAGGCCGGTGCCATGGCGTGTGGTGGGACGAAGGTGGAGGGCGCAGCGGTGGCGGATCATTTGTGCTTGCCGAGCTGCCGTTGTTGGCTTTTATTTCTTCTTTTTCCCTTTTGGGCTTGTTGTGCCGTTCGCCCCGGCAGTTACCCTGTGATCGTGTGTCTGGTGCTTTATAATATAAAGCGGGGGAAACCCTTTTTCGGTAAATTTAACATGTTATATGTGGAATTTGATTAAAAATATATAGAATCTGAATATGATGTTATTTTACCTGTTAACCATTTTAAAAAAATACTATCTAGGGTGCAATCTTAATCAACATTGCATTATCTGTCTTTCTTTTATATCAGTACTGATCCGGATTGTGGATGAACATCTCGGCAAAATCAGGATTGAAGATCACTTGCCCGTTTCTTTGTACATATTAAATCTACATGCAAGTCGTGTTTAAATAGAAGACATGTGAAATCTTGAACTTGCGCTTTTGTTGGCAAAGACCATTTTTGTTTAGACTGTAGCTACAAATACTCAGATTCTAGACCATCTTTTCTAAATTAAGAGCATGTGGTATTCTTTTCTCCCGTTGCAACGCACGGGCCCTCTTGCTAGTATTACTCATTGCCTCGCTTAGTATTTGTGTCCTGTCTTTATTTCCCGTTTCTAGATTTGCTGCTTCAGTTCGTTTTCATGTTGCTAGCTTAGTTTACCTTAGGCCCCGCTTGGATTCCCTGTAAAGTTTTACAAGTGTATATTGATTACCCCTGTAAATTACTGGAGATCAGTAAAATACAAACGGATATACAAGGGGAGTCTACAGCGCGCTTGGTTCGTCTTGTTTCTCACTTGGTTCAGGGAGTGTTCCCATGCGTTGTGTCGTTGGCGGTGGGAACACAATGAACTGCAAGGCCGGCGGCCGACGGTGCCAGCTAGACGCCCCCACCATGCCCGTGTTCCTCGGCCCTCCCTGTGGCGGAGCGGGGCCACGACGGCTGCGGGATCTGGCTGCAGTGCCGACGCGCGGAGGTGCTCCGGCGGCGGTGCGAGAAGGCGCTCCGGCGACGTCACGGACGCGGCGGCAGCGTCAGCCCGAAGCTCGGCGGCGATGTGGCAGGACTGCAAGAGGCGACGGGCCGACGGCCCTTGAGTTTGACAGTGGTGTCTCCGGTGAAAGGCGCGCGGCGGCTGCGGAGCTTGCTTTGGTTGCTGATATGAGGAAAAACGACGGAAGGAGCAGTGTTTTGGAAACAGGCGGATTACCAGCGGATTACAACTGTAACGTAAAACCAGGGGTAAAATTTACAATGCGGAAACGACAATCCAAGTACTCCGGAGGTATTTCGTTACGGAGGTATCTTTTCCACGTGTAATTGGCTGCAAAACGACCAACCAACCGGGGCCTTACTGTTATTCTCGTTACCTTATAGAAGGGCGATAGTAGTAAGCTCTTTCCTTGTGATCACTCAGGTGAAAATGCTGCTAAGTCATGCTCAACCATTGCCTCCGTGGTTCGAACCATGTATTTTATTGGTCCGTTGTCAGAAGCATAAGGCAAAAAACTAATTCTGGCTGTAGATAATGGTACAAGGAAGAATAATAGGAGTAATCTTTATTAGTAGATATAAAGGTCGGATAGATGACCTATTTTATTCTTCCTGGCATACTTATTGCATATTCCGGTTGCTCCAATAGCACAATTTGGAGCGGAACAAATACATACCACTAAAATACCACAAGATAAGATTATTTTTTCGCCAGCAGAACCTTAAAGGTAATTGGAAATGTAAATTGGGGTGGACCATAGTAGAATGCAGCGGCTGTCAGCTTGGCGGCCCTATCTGTCATGAACTCTGGGTCCCAGAACCAGTAACCATCTGGGTTGTAGCAGTACGTCCAGTCTGGGTAGCCCCACTGACTGCACGAGTCCTGGGTATTCACTAGCCCTACACGTCAGACAACACAACAATTTTACAATGAAACAAACCACAATCAAATGAACATTGGACGCATGTGCATTATGGTAAATAGAGTATCGGTGGCTAGCTAATTTTCAACCGAAAAAGAGTATTTGATGTGTCACGTACCATAATCTGCTGGGTGGGCGAAGACGGCCGTGGTGAAGCCGTAGAAGTCGCCGATGGAGTAGGAGAGCCCCGATTTCTTGGATGAGAGGCTGGCCATGAGGGTCTTGAGGGCGGCGTCAAACGCGGTGGCGTTTTCGTTCAGGCTCTGGTCGCAGACATAGTTGTAGTTGTAGGGTTGCGGCTTGCAGCCGATGAGTCCAACATTGACGATGGCCATCTTCCTGGCACCCATGTCATAAAGGGACGAGATGGCTTCCCCGTAAAGAGTGATGAGCTCCTGGAGCTCGGTCTGTGACCGTGGGTATCCGGACACGACGTTCCATCTTGGATCGAGGTCCTGCCCACCGGTGCCAATTAGGAAGAAGGACTTGGAGAGGAGCTCACGCAATTTGGCGTCGCCACCCAGCTTGGCCTCCATCTGGGACCTCGTCACCTTGAAGTGCTCAAGCTGCTTCGGCAACGAGATGGAACGTTCTCCGTTCTGCATGCATCTCTCATTTCAAATGTTGGTAATTTCCCACAAGTGCAAATTTAGTGCAATGGGTTGACTTACAGTGGAGATTTTGATACCGGAACCCGCTGAGGCATAGTTGGCTCCCCACATGTTGAGCCCACCGTTCAACGACATGTAAGCTGGAGGGCTCTGCTGGAAGCCGATTGATGTTGCTGGACACCATAAAACCAACCATCCAATCAATCATGGATGATCGATCGATGAGTAGGCAAATGATGTGTTAATTGAGAGGCCAGGGATATCCTCTTTTTTTTTTAAAAAAAGGATGTATCATGGGTTTGGCACGCACGTACCCACGGTGTCGGCCAAGTTGGCTCCGTTGCTGAACCTGCCACTGCTAGATTGGGAGACTTGAGGGGGGTGCCCCTCCTCCGTTTCGACCTTGGGCAAGTATGCGTTGTTGCCGACGTCCAACACCCCGTCTCCGAACACGAACATGGCCGGTGGAGGCACGGGCTTCGCCGGCTTTACCTCGTCGTCTATTTTCACCAGAACATGCATTATATTATACTATTTCATCACAAACCCAACACCCAACCAACAAATTCAAAATTAAAGAGAATTTTAAAAAGATCAAAATTAAAGAGTACGTACGGCAGAATGTCTTGCAGTCGGGGCAGAGAACGATGCACTGCTGGGGGCAGCGGTCGGGGCAGGTGCTCGTGCACCCCGGCCTCTTCCCGTCGGTGTCCTTGCAGGTAACGTTCCTGGGAGGGACGACCTCCCCCGCCCCCTCGTGGCCGTCCGGGGAGCCCGGAGATGGGTATGAGCCCGGGGACGGATACGAGTCCGGGGAGCTTGGGGACGACGGGTATTGCGCCGACGCCAATGCCGACATCGCCAGCAAGCAGAGGATACCCACCCTGAGCAGACTGACATGCAACGCCATTGCTGCTGCCAACTGGTGCAAGCTAATCGATGGAAAGACTATGTAAGCTGTTGCTGCTTGCCGTTGTGATCGAGGGCCTCAAGGATATCCTTATATAGTATGGCTATAGTTAGCACAGCAAGCTGGGTTAATGGCGAGCGTTGACCCAGATTGCCGGACCAGCAATGTAAGTAGCCGAACTGTCTTATGAACGACGACAAGTATGAAGCAAGATTTAATCAAGATACTCTTGGAATACAGTCGAGGCCGGTGCCTCGGGGTCAGGATATATATAATTATATACTTCAATAGGTAATGCAACTGCAGCTGGGGAGACTTGTACGCGCAGGCAGAGGGAAACAACCCATGGATGAACTGAAGAGATAGAGAGTAGCCTGTGCGTGTGATCGGGCTGACGGCAGACCTACGCGTCCATGCTTCATATTAGTAACTATACGGAATACAGGAGACTAAGTCAAGGCCTTACAAGTCAAATCTTGAGATGATATGCCTCCTCACGTGCTCATGCTTGAAATCTGAAATCTTCAAAACTAAGTCGGTCGCCCCAAAAGTCAGAGCGCACAATTTTTGTATTTTATTTTTTTGAACACGTCAGAGCTCATAACTGTGATTTACCTAGTAGCCATGGAGGGCGTCTTAGCGATTGGATTTCAACAGAATCTAATTTTGTTGATGATCTTGATTTGTGGCTGGGTGCATATCTCGTCTATAGTTGCATGGTTTTGTTTTTTTTTCTTTTCGAAAAGGAGGTTATCCCCTGTCTCTGCATCAGAGTGATGCATACGGCCATCTTATTAAGAAGCAAATGGTCCAACAAAGTCTTCAAGTCTTAAAAAAGAAAAAGTGCTCACAAAGAGCAAAACGATATAAAAACAGGATAGCCACAACGGGCAGGCAAAAAAACAGATAGGAAACTAAACACCTATCCTATTACATGACCGCCATCTAAATCAGTTGAAGATAGCCCGTGCTACCGTCTCTCACCGGATAGGCCCAGTAACCATACGCTCTCTGGCATCCGTCAGAGTGAGTAGCGACCACATACGGATGAGTGCAGTGGCCCGAAAAATAACCTGCAAAAAATGAGTATGTGTTGTTCTGTTAAAAACAAAATCATTCCTGCAGTTCCATGCTGCCCATAATAAAGCACATACTCCTACTCAAATATGTCTCGTCGTTTGACTTTCCACACATGGTTCAATCGAGGTATAGAACCAGTGTTGATAATATCCAAATACGTGGATTTAACCGAAAACACTCCATTCTTGGTTAGTTTCCAGTGCAGCTGGTCTGGCTGTTGAGAAAGGTGAACAACCATCAATCTTCTCATAAGATGGAGCCAAGCTTCCCAACGGTTTCCCACTAAAGTCCTCTTGATTTGGATATTGAGAGGGTTGGACTGGAATACTGTTGCAACGTAAGCGTCTCTTCGCTGAACAATATTATAGAGAGAAGGATATTGGAGTGCAAGGGGCGTCTCCCCTAACCATGTATCCTCCCAGAATATCGTGGTAGTACCGTTTCCAACGTTAATTTTTTTCATGTTCAAAAAGACTGACTTCACTCTCATCAGTCCCTTCCAAAATGATGAATCAGTCGGTCTGACCGTCACCTGGGATAAGGTTTTGGAATGTAGGTACTTATTACGCAAAATCTGGGCCCATGTAGCATCAGTCTCTACAGATAGCTTATACAACCAATTGCTGAGAAGACATCTATTCTTCACCTCTAAATTTTCAATGCAAAGACCCCTTGGTATTTTGGCCTACAGATTATATCCCATTTAGTGAGTTTGTACTTTCATTTTAACTCATCACTCTGCCAGAAGAAGCGCGATCAATAGAAGTCCAGTCTTTTCGGAACTCCAACTGGTACCTCAAAGAAGGACAAGAGAAACACAGGCATACTCGTGAGAACCGAATTAATGAAAATTAGTCGGCCTCCATATGACATAAGCTTGCCCTTCCAGCAGCTTAGTTTCTTTTCAAATCGATCCTCATTGCACTTCCATTCTTCGTTGGAAAGCTTGCGATGGTGAATTGCTACACCCAAATACGTAAAGGGCAAGGAACCCAATTCACACCGAAACAATTGTTTGTAAGCTTCTTGTTCGTCTTTAGCTCTTCCAAAGCAGAACAATTCACTTTTATGAAAGTTAATCTTTAACCTCGACAAATGTTCGAATAAGCATAACACAAGCTTCATGTTTCTTGCTTTTGCCAAATCATGCTCCATAAAGATGATAGTATTATCAGCATACTGTAAAATAGACACTCCTCCGTCCACTAGATGCGGGACGAGCCCACCTACCTAGCCATTATCCTTAGCTCTTCCTATTAGGATCGTCAACATGTCTACCACAATGTTGAACAGAATAGGTGACATCGGCTCTCCTTGCCTCAGACCCTTGTATGTCTGAAAATAATGACCTATGTCATCATTCACTTTGATTCTTACACTCCCTTTTTGCGTGAAAAAATCTACCTGGTTTCTCCAGGACTTATCGAAACCTTTCATCCGCAAGGCCTGCTGAAGAAATGGCCATTTTACCTCATCGTACGCTTTCTCAAAATCCACTTTAAAAACCACCCCATCTAGTTTTTTCGTATGGATTCCATGGAGCATTCATGTAGGACCACAACCCCTTCTAGGATATTTCTATCCAGCATGAAAGCAGTTTGAGATGGATGTACCGTAGCATGCGCAATCTGCGAAAGCCTGTTAGTTCCAACCTTGATGAAAATTTTAAAGCTGACATTAAGAAGACAGATCGGCCTGAACTGCTCAATCCGCACTGCCTCTGTTTTCTTAGGAAGCAATGTAATCGTTCTGAAATTTAGGTGAAATAGCTGCAAATGTTCAGAAAACAAATCATGGAACATCGGGAGCAAATCACCCTTAATGATGTGCCAGCACTTTTTGGAGTAGTCAGCCGGAAAACCATCCGGCCCAGGCGCTTTATTATTCTTCATTTGCGAAATTGCCTCAAACACCTCTTTCTCCGAAAATGGGGCGGTCAAAATATTATTCTCATCCGTTGCAAGTTGAGGGATATCCTCAACCCTCGACTCATCTAAGGACACGAAATTATCCTCAGGTGGCCCAAAAAGCTGTTTATAGTAGTTGGTGATATAAATTTTTAGGTTCTCCTGTCCTACAATCGTCCCCTCATTTTGCTCGAGCTGAAAGATTCTCTTCTTTCGATGCTTGCCATTCGCATTCATATGGAATAATTGAGTGTTATCATCCCCTTGAACGACTTTGCGGACTTTAGCTCTTAGTGCCCACTTCAATTCTTCCTTTCGAAGCAATTCTTTCAGTCTCATTTCCGCCTCCAATTTAGTTTCCATCTCCCTGGTGTCTAAAATGGAGGACTCGGCTTTTATTTCGAAGGAGTTAATAAGGTGAAGGAGCCTTTCCTTTTCAATCTTATACACCCGCTCAAATGTTTGGCCCAACCACGTAAAAACTGCCTTAGGTGTCTAATCTGCCATCTTTCTACATTTGACCTCTCTCCTGAATCTTCAGCCCACTATGGTTTTGGTTTTATTGCCTCGGTAAAAGTAGATAAATCTTATTTGAGAAAGAAAAAAACTACACCCACCTTCCGTCCTGGAAATACAGTGGTATGCGCAACGGTAGAGAAAAGCTTCCGACTAGCCGATGGAGGGAATACTCAACAAACCATTTGTCGAGATGATATTGGCCTTCACCGAGTCCTCATCGCACTCAGCGAAGAAGCTGTTTCAGTTTTCACTCGGCGAAATGTATATTGTAACAGGAAATTACACTATCATAACGGGAAAAATACACTTAAGAAATATAAATGAATAACAAGAATGGATCCTACCATCAAAGCTCCAATCCGATTCAGAATCATGATTCTGACTAGCTTGACAACCGCCTCCTCCTACCACCCTGTCCCCCTTCCTCTCGCCACTGCTAGAGACCAGTGGCCAGGCTATGTCCCGACACTAGTCGATGAAGGCGTCAGAGAGGAGATCTCTTCCCTGGT